ACACACTGGACCTTTAAAGTGCAATGTGAGGGATTACAAGATTGTAATACTATTTGAAGTATACTGAACCGTAATTATCACTGTAATTATAACATTAGCTTTTTAAATTAATTTTAGCACATTAGATCAGTTTATTTATATTAAACTCAAACAACGTGTGTGCCTGAGACTACAAGCTCAATTTACACATTAAGTAGATCCACCTTTTGGAAACCTGCCAAACTTCTACAAACTTTTTTCTTTCAGTTTTCCATTCCCTTCTACCAACATCTTTTTTCTTTTTCTTTTTGCTGTGCGGAGCTTTTTTCACAGCTTTCATACAGTGCATGCATCACTTATTTTGGTGGCTGGGGCCTCGATTACCTGAATTTTTCCATCGCTAGAACGCCTGACCATCGCTAGAACGCCTGACCATTATTTTAATCGATAATTAACTGAGAACCCACAGCAGGCCAAACGTTGCTAAGCTGTTCTTGTCCTTCGGCTCTTAGTATGCTTACATCTCTTTAAATGAAGTGCCTCTGTGTGTTTTTATAATGAAAGCTTTCTGATGGGTTTTACTGCCAGTTTTCTCCAGGTTTTTAAGCAAGCAAGAGCATACATGACCCTAGCATGTCAGCATGTACTTTACTTAAATTATAGCTCCGGTGCTTACCTTGGTACCTGATGGCAATGCCAGTGGATGTGCCCGCAGCATCTGTGGTCAACTCAATGAAGAGATGCCTGGACGTGCTGAGTAGACCTTCATTGGGCAGATACTCCACCTCGTACGAATCATACAGGGCAGTTGCATCTATGCTGTTACCATTCTTAATCAGCAGCCTGGAAGAAAGGGAACAAAGATTAATTTAGCAGGGTTCTTCCTGGTAATGAAATCAATACCTGAGATATTTTGGAATTAAAAAATTGTGTGATTAATAACGATGTGATGTGTAATTTGATGGCGTTGAGGAGTTGCCCACAGAGAATTTGTACCAACTCTACTGAACTTTTTAGCCTTGTATAGCTCCTTGTTTGGAATTTTTTGCAAAATTATAATCCCAGCCAACTTCTCCTCTTATCCAAAGCCGTCAAATACCAACGCTGCTTTGTCATACCCCTTGGTGTCTCATATGGAAGCATAAGGGACCCTTTAGCGTCTGTATGAGCTTTTTCTCCCTAAGTCCCACCCCTTTTTGCTCTGTGATCTAAAAACTGTTGGGCAAGCCTCGGTAAGAACTTCTGTCAACTTTCTTCTTTCCTGTACTTTTATCATGCAGTGTGTAAGGCTAATCTATGTTGAAAACATGACCAAATCTTAAAGCTGGTCAAAAGATAAAAGTGACATATATATATAGTCACCAAGAACCACCCGTCAGGATTTCTTGTAATTTTTGGTAAAATTCTATGGCAGACAACAATGACCCAGCACAATGTTTCATGGTGTATTGTCATCAGCAGTTGACAGGTCTATTTAAACAGACTCAGTTTTGATCCGCTGAATGTCACAGGCCTCCACCGCCCCCACCTGTGGCTCTGTTCTTCCATGGTTCCCCATGGAGCTCTGCATTGATCTCTGCTGGCTCTGCCTTTGATCACTTCAATTATGCCTCTCAGGTAGCGAGAAGAGTGTGTACCAGAGCGCAACACAGCCTTGATGTCAAAATAAAATCTGTATTTACATTTATTCTCAATGTTTCTATTCACACTGACTGAACTGAAGCCGAATGTGAAACATGTTCTTCCCTTTTGGTTTATTTCTCTGAAGTGGTGAACTGTCCTGTTTCCTCCCCCGATTAGTTGAAAACAATGTTAGACAATGAATACAAATCAGTTCAAAATGAATTGGAAAAGTCAACAGATTCTGCTACATAATTAAGAGATCCGTTAGTAAAAATGCTCTGCTATCCCCCTAAAAATACCCAGAGATTTACATTAGTTAGTGAAGGCAAGCTTTGACTTGTAATTTTACATTTACATTTACATTACATTTTCTACCTGAGTATGTAGCCAAAATGGCTGCCTGGAATTCCTAGATTGTAGAAAAAATGTAAATCTCAATCTTTGTGGTAGAGAACAAACCAGGACTGTGTGATAGTAGACATGTGATTTTAGCAAGAATTCAAAAGCATAACTACTATTAACCCATTAATGACTAAAAACTATATTTAGTATGTTAAGAAAAAGCCCCACAGAATATTTTCTGTTGGAGGTGGAAACACAAAATCAGCTGTTGAGACGTGATGTGCTACACAAGACAAAACCAAATTTTTTTGATGTCATATATATTTATAATGCATTAATTGGCACTAACCGATTTTCACCCAGTTATATCATGACATTCACCCGTCATTCAATCTTAAACTTAAATCAGTGATTTGTGTGAAACTGGATGATATTTTATGGAGAAAATATTTTCAGTTTTTTCCTGCTGGGGCTCAGCAGCTTCCCAGTGAACACAACCTCAGAGACAGACAGAGGCCAGTGAGAGGACAGCGGTATTGAGGCGATTTACTAAGTTTGCAGAAGTCCCTCCCTAGCTGGAAAATAAAATACAGTTAAGTGGGTTACTTGAGTTACGCAAGTTACATAAATGTGTGATCTTTTCCTAAAACATAACCAAGTAGTGTTTTTGTGGTTAAGCCTAACCAGAGTGTGACTGTTTCACAATGTTATCCATGCAAGCTTTATTTTGAAACACTATCATCACATATTTATTATTGCTTAACTTGACCATGGAGCCCTATGCGTCCAGAAATGACACTAAAAGGCACCTACACAGAGGGTTACTGACAGCAGTATTTGATGAGTTGGGAATGAGAATGTGTTTACCAAAGTCATTGAAGTGGTGTGTACAGAATGACCAATAAAAGCAGGTGGCAAGAAATTCTTTGAAATTCCAGTAGCCAGTACCTCAGCTCATTACACTACCACCTCTTACACTCATGCCAATTCTCTGTCTTCTCCACATCATCACTTCTTTCTTATCTTTCCAGCTTCCTCAGAGTTGTCCAGATGTCCTTCATGTCATATCTGTGAGGTCTATATTTGTATCAAGAGTGTAGGAGCAGCTCAGAGCAGCTATTGGCTGCTATACAAAATGGATTATTCAGCTAATTTCCCCCCTGTGGCTCTTCCTTGCAGTCCTCTGTAATGAGAGCCCCATGCTGCTAAAATGACACTCTACTGTCACCGCTATGAGCTGCACTGACAGCCAGTTGTTACCCTGCGGAGTCCTCAGGAATAATGTTCTTCCAGGGACAAAGCTGAGGGTACGAAACACGAGAGGTCTGGTGATTGAACATAACTGAAGGAACGTGCACAAGTAAAGAGGAAGGTACATCACTGTTAACAGAGAGTGAACAATGAGACACACTGGGCTGTAACTAGCTCATATGTTCTTCTGACATTATAAAATATCATCAATTTGTGAAAAAGGAGGCATTAGATTCTTATCAAAGTGAAATCCTCTGATGATAATTTCCCAGACTCAAACCATCACTGCAGGTCATGTTCCAGAGCTATTATCTTCCTGTTGGTTGTTTGTCATTGTGAGTATCCTTAAATAAGCTTCTTGAATGCATTTTACAATTTTAAAACTGTATGCCTGGTGGCTTTAAATACGGAAGCCAAAAACGTCTGTGCTTGTACTTTTTTTAATGACGTTATCTCGAGATCACAAGTTAATTATATTGTTAGCTCAAGATAACAAGATTAATCAACCCGTTATCTTGAAAAACAAAAACAAAAGGTTGTTTCCTCTTATTACATATAGTGTTCATCAGAGATCAGGAGTGTCATTCCAGCATGCATATAAATGTAGCATTAGTAACAGTAACATTAGCAACATAATGGACAATGCATGGAGGAATGACATGCAACATGAGTTAATATTCATTGACCGGTAAAGGACAAAGTGCATGAAAGGGATCTTTAAGCTCATTTCATGAATCTCAATCTTCTCCTGGTATATTTTGTCAGTATTGCATCGTATTACCAGATGGACAGAGCACTATCAGATGGACATTCTGGTAACAACTCAGTTTTGAATCCTCCCTGACAGTGATCTTGAAAGCTGAAATCAGGTCTGATAAAAAAAGTGATCTCCATGATCATCCTGTGATCTTGAGAAAACAAAAGTCATGTTGTGATAAACTGTCTTGTTATCTCAAGATATCAGCCTTTTGTTTTGATTGGTTAATTTATCATATTTTAATTCATGTTAATTTTATCATGATCTCGAAATAATGGCACTAAAGATGTATTTTCAAGCACAGCCGTTCTTGGCTACCGTACTTAAATGAAGATTTACATTTTATACATGGAAAATTCAATAAAGTTCATTTTACTGCAAACCTAATACAGAGGTTGTGTGTTTATAATGTCCAACCATCCTCGTACTAAAGCTGAATGCCCAGCTTACCGATCATCATCCTCAGCCAGTGCCACCTTCTCAAAGTGGATGTGCAGCCTCTGGCCCTCAGGGGCCTCCAGCAGCCAGTGGCAGGTCAGGTTGTTGCTGTAGTTGCTGGGAAAACCAGGAGAGACGATACGACCGACTGTGACGTTCCTGATCAAACCACCACAGGCAGCTGAGAGAGGAGAGGATGACATGCAAAAGTGCTCTCAATTTTCACACTGCACTGAAAGTACAGCAGAATTCACAAACTCACATCCCCCATCAACTTACTGAGCATAGATTAACCCTTTTAGCTGTCAGTACAGACAAACAGGATCAGGCTAAAAAAAAATATCTGTGAGATTATGTTACATTCTTTTTTCACAACATCAAATTATAAAATATTAGCTGGGAGTACAAACTAATATTCCAATATTCTCACATTCAGTATCATGTACTTTTCCACAGCACGAATTTGATCAGTACAACAGAGTCATGTCATACTCACCGTTCTGCTTCACAAGTACTGTTGTGATTTACAAATCAATGCTTCTCCTCTGCTGTCTCTCAAGTGCTGTTAAAGTTTCTGTCAATACAATTTGACACTTCCTGCAGATGTTTCACATTATGAGCCTATTACAAACATTACAGATGATATTTTACTGTGCCTGTTCTCCCTCTCAACCCGTCAAATATGGCAGCTTGGTCAGTGGCCCTACACTTCAAAGTAGGATGCTGTAGATTTTACTAGATTAGTACGTTTTAGTGTCATTTCTGGATGAGCCTGTCTGGTGTAATGTTTTGATGTGCCACTGAAGTCAGGTGATGTACTATAAAGAGGGAGAAAGCCGGCATATGCAGGTGGTTTGGGGTGGATGGATGGCTTAAACAAGCTGTTCATGTCCCGGTTATGGACTTTAACCCAAACCACAATCTTTTCCTAAACATAACCAAGAAGTAGCTGTGCCTAATCCTAAACACACTGTGACCATTTAAAATCATCAAATGTGAAATGTTTCTCAGCAACCTTTATTTTAAAAGTCTAACCGGACATTGAATATTTATTATTGCTTACTCGACCGGACTTTCGATATTAATTGTTGCTAACTAGACCTGCACATGCAAAACTAATGCTAGAGGGTATCTACAGTGTCCTAGTTTGAAGCTTGAGGCCACTGACCCAGTTGCCGTATTTGACGAGCTACAAGGGAGAACGTGTTGAATGTGACACATCTACTGTATGCAGGAAGTGTTGCGTTTTGTTGATAGTAGCTTAACAGCAACCAAAAATAAATGTCAAAATGGAAACCACTAGAAATAATTGGTGAATGAAAACAGAATTTGTGTTTAAAAAAAAGTGGTACTAGTGGAATTAGTGATATCGAAATATATATATATTATAACTTCTCAAGACAAAAGGTAAATATGGAAGATGTTAAAATAAAAGCAGGTCAGAAAACAGAGAGGCTTCTCACTGGAATATAATTAGATATACAAGTTGTGAAAAATAACATCAAAGAATTCTCTAAATCTTAAAAAAATAATGTTCCCGTTACTCAGAATAATCCACAGACTTCACTGTAAGCAGTTTTCACTGGAATTGCTTTCTAGCAAATAAATGGTCCTCATCAAACCTGTCGACAGTCAACAGTATAGCTCAATATCATAGGAGGTAGGTGAGAAAATACTGGGTGAATAGACCCTTTAAATTGAGCACATAATTACTGTATGCTGTAATTTGTCCAAAAGTGGATCTTAAAGTGATTCATCAATTACCCATTACAATAGATTTTGAAATTCAACAGCATGGAGGGAGCCAAGGAATATGTGCGAGAAAGAAAACCGATACAATCAGATTCATCAACACATACAGAAAATCCATCTCCAGCTATAGGAAGTGTTTGTGTGTGTGTGTGTGTGTGTGTGTTGTTTCCCAGCTGATCAGGTCAAGGTTACTCATGCAGACAAAGCTTAATTAAAGTAGAGCAGGAAGAGTAAACCCAGTGGCATCCTGCCCAGCCCTCAGTAATCACACCTCGATACACCTGCTTTATGCTGTGACACACACACACACACAAGCACACAAACACACACACACACACATAATCAAGATGGCAGAGATACTGATGCACAGCCACACAAACTCCGCCTTTGAAATTGCTTTCAGAGAAACATTCCCTGAGCTGAGAATCAGAGTCGATCAGAGTGGTCAGGAGTAAAATGGTCACTTATTATTCATCAGCCAGCCTCATCGGAGCAAAGAAAGAAAGAAGGAAAAAAACATTCATCATCCTCACACTCCTGCGGGAGTCCAGGTCTGTCTGTATCTATGTCTGTCATGCAAAAGGACCAGAAGGTGCAATAGATAACTCTTGGCTGCATGTCCTCTAAAGAAAATTACCCAGAATGCTGTCAGAGAATGGCTTAAGCACAGTAGTTTAACAAAACAAAAGCAGCGGGCCAAAGGGCCAAGAGTATTACTATTATATATTCAAGGCTAATGTTTATTATGCTAATAATGTTGTTATATTGTAATAATAATAGTAATGCTAATACTATTATGTACTACTACATTTCTGTTTACAATATCATATTTATAAAATAATTTTGTTTTTATTATGTAATATTTGTTATATATACAGATCTCAATTAAACTTTCATCATTTCAGATGCAATACACAATTTGTATTCATTAAATTCCTAAGCAAAATATGGATTATGTATTGTATGTATGTACGATTATGTATTACGTGTATATTACATCTGATATGTATTATTATATAAGATACATAATGATGAAAATAATAATAATAATAATAATAATAATAATAATAGTTATTATCATTCTTATTCTAAAGAAATACATTAGTTTAATCAATATAAAATATTGTGCAATTTTTATGTTATTATTATAAATAACATTTATTAGATTTGTTATATTTCTTATTGTAAATATTATGTTAAATTATTAAGGGATAAAGTAGCAAAATGTGAAGGTTAATAATGCAAATAATAATAATAACTTATATTTTCTACATTTTATATTATTTAAACAATTACATAATATATTATTAAAATGATTAATTATTAAATATCAGCATGTACTATGGAGATTGCAAATGGTTTAATCTTTAAAGAGAATCAGTTTAAATATCATACATCTCTGATGCAATCTTTTTGTCTTTGAATGAATTGTTCTTTCTTGCTTTCTTCAGTGACAACAGTATGTGGGTAACAGTGATTCATACCATTAAATATAGTCTGGTGACCTTACCGAGGCAGTGTGGTTCCTTGCCACTCCAGTAGGGAGTGCTAGCATTGCGGCAGGTCAGCATGCTGGGGCCTTGCAGCTGGTAGCCAGTCAGACAGGAGAAGAAGGCCTCCCCTCCAGAGTGGAGACTGCTCACTGAGACGTCACCGTAGAGGGGCCGCTGGGGGAAGACGCAGCTCAACACGAAGGCTGCAGACAGAGACGGACAGAGACAGAGAAATATAAAGACAGAGAAAGAGGAAGGGAGAGACACAAAGGGAGAGAGAATTAAGCCGAAAAACAGTTGAGCAAGAGCTGAGGTTTGGTCTCAGAAGTTGAAAGGGCTCAGTGAAGTTGGTTTGAGCTAGTCATGTGTCACACCAAAAAGAGCTTCCTGCCAACTTCCATACAGACACCCCAGAAAGCTCCAAGAATGAAATTGGCTTGTTTAGTCTCTAAATGGTTTTGGATTTGTTGCGAGCAGGAGAAACTGAACCCAAGAAATAAATTCTCCAAAAGCCAGGCTCTAACAACTCCTTCAAATTTTGGTGTGAGCATTTGTAACAGCGTAAATTTGGGGAAACAGTGTATCCTCATTTATTTTACTCATTTAGCACATTCACTTTGGGATTACGGTGTCTGGTCATTTAGAATACACTAGCACAATAGATTCACCCAAACTTAAAGGGACACTTAAAGGGACCCATTTGCATTAAGCTTTGTATCGTTAGAAAACCCCAAGTTCATTGATTTTTTGGAATGGAGTCGTGCACCCGCATTGCTTTCATTTCCTGAGACGGAAGAATTACGGAAGTTTCAGTGTTGCACTTCCTTGCTTCCCAATGAATGGTAAAAATCGTCATTTTGCATACACTGGAAGCAGGAAGTCCTCAAATATCTTTTGTAGAAGGGGGGTTGAAGGACTACAAAACACTTTTTTAATAGGACCCACAAATTTCAAAATTTATGTTAAACCATTTCGACTACATATATAACCCACTTTCAATAAAGATGAATCTTTTCACGGGTGAAATGCTTCTTTAACTGTGAAAGCAGGAGCAAAATCTGTATTTTGAAAAGCAGAGCCCCCGTCCTCAGTGGATGTTGATGCAAATCCAAAAGCTGAACCAAAAACACTGAGGTGAATACCAAATAATTGTCTTAAATAATAGTTCAAGAAATGGACAAAGAAAGTCCAGTTGCTAAGAAACACCTGGTAAAAAAAACACTACCTGTACTCAAGAGGGAACCTCTGTGGCAAATGAACCCAACACAGAAGTGCCACAACCTGCAGTTCCTCCATCCACTTGAGGCTGGCTCCAGCAGTGAGTCAGTCTCCATCAGACTTCATATTAAAATCCCCAACTTTACAGCAGAAACGTGTACAGCCTGATACATTTTGTCTCTATAGCTAATTTTCCCGTTACTGTATTTATGACCTTATTTTTGTAAATGTGACAGAAATCCCACAGGTCCTGACTTTCCAACTGTCAGAAAGTGTTTAAAATAAGCTGTCTGCTTAAACAGAGGTAAATAAAACAACAAGTGTCCAGTGGAAAATACACAGCAACACAGCGGTGACATTTAGTGTACTGGTGTTCCTCTGTGGCTACCACCTGCTGGATCTGTAAGGTAGCATTCACACCCACACACACTTGTACAAAGACCTGTCACATCACTGCCAATATGTGGGGAACATATCCAGGCTGGCTCTTAGGTGACCAGTTAACTAACTGGCTTTTTTATTGCCACTGATTTGTCTTCACTCAGCCTCCTGGCGTTCGGCCAAACATATTAATAATATATTTCTGCTAAAGACACTGATCCATCTCACTGTAATTGTCCTAGTTTTTTATTGTTAGCCCTCGGATGGCTTGGCAGTAGCACTGCTATTGATTCTGTCTGTTGGGGACAGCGCTGTGCCTCAGGCGAGGAAATATGTAGGGAGATTAAATAGGCCAATAAATGACAACCTACGACCTCGGCCGCTTCCAACACTCTGTTAGTGCTGAGGGATGTTTGCCAGCTCTATAGTGTCCCACAGAAATAGAGATAAGAAGAGCAGTGTTGGTCTTTGTAGTATTTCTCATTAGAGCAACATCCCAGACTAGTGCTGCCATAGCAGCAGCTGCTGGAGCTGTGTCCTATCACTCCCTGAGCTAGTCATTACCTTGGTCAGCTGTAGCTATTTTATATCCAGGCCAACCAAAAACTATGAGACTCACAGGCTCACTAGAGACTAGAAAAGAGATAAAAGAGCCATCATGGTTGCATTGTGGCATCATAACACTGGTGCTAACAGGGAGCTTTCACAGAGACAAATTGCCTCGAAGCGGTAAAATGGCTTCTATATGCTACATCACTTGTCTTGTCTTCTTACACCTTATGGCCATTTATCATGTGTTGGTTTTAATGAAAGGTTATTGATAAGCAGTGCTTTTGTTTTTTTCTCTGTCATACTAGAGGGTACAAGTTGATCTACAGTATGGTGTTCAGCTTAAGTCTATTGGATCACATGGGCACAGGCACCCCACAGTTTTTGTTGCCTGACCTGCATTAAAAATAAAAATAATTATGAATTAGATCAGATCACATATTTGAATGTAATAAACCAATTACATGATGTCTAAATTGCATAACCAGAGTTGCTGAAGAATATTAAAATAAATAAATAGGAGGCATTTATATTAAGAGGCAATATGAATGTAACTTTTATGCCTTTGTCATAGCATGTAGTTTTAGTCTAGTTCCAATTAAAAATCCAATTAACAAGTGGAAATTCAAATCAGCACAAAGTTGGCAACTGACCCAAAATTCCTAATGTCTGTATAATATTGGTAAACTAGATGTTATTTTCCATAACCTGTGCTAGTGGGAGCATGTTGTACAGGAGAGTCCCACAAATTGAGCTTTGGGGAACTCCGTATGTCATGTTTACACGCTGAGATGTGTAATTACTGATCTACACAAAGCAGAGTGGTAGAATTCATATCAGTTCAGCACTGTGCCAGTAAAGAATGACTAGTGTAGAGGACTGTATAGGCACCACTGACACATATTTCTCTGGTGTTTTCAGTGATATACCATTTTGTGATTAACTCTGAATATGTGAATGCACTGAGATAAGTCATCTTAAATAAAACACAGGAATGATCAAAGAAACAAAGTTCCCAGAGCCAAAAATGTTAAGACCCTTGGAGATGGGGACAGTGCCAGTGGCAGATCAGGGGTTCGTATTTTTAAAAAGAGGGACCAGAGAATGTCTCCAATAATTTGGGTCTCACACTCTGACGCTCAGCCTTCCCAGGAAAGTTTATTCCAGTGTGCTGGAAAAGAAGATATTCAAACAGGAGTCCAGTAGGTGCTGGCCTCCAGTTTGGGGACCTCACTGCATCTGTAAGTACTATGACTTTCCGAGACTGTCTATGGCTCTTCGGTCCAAGCCCATTGGTTCCTATAGTTCCTATTTAAAGATTCAGTATACTGAAGATATAAAATTATCTCACAAATATAGCTTAAAAAAAGCCTAGTAATTTGGTTTAAAAAGCTGGCCACTGTCAAACAGGAGAAAAAGTTTTATATGTTGTCCCCCACTACAAAGCAGATGAATAGGCACAAACAACAGAAGTCCGGCTGCATCATACTGACCTAATAGACATTTATATGGAAACTGAAACTTATACTGTAAATAATGTGTGCACATTCATTTCAGAACCTTATTTTGAGAAATGGCCAACATAAATGTTACACCCTGTGTACTGTAATATAGCAAACTACATACTACTATTTTACATTTTATGGGTAAATATATATTTTTCTTGGTATGTACATTTTTACATTTGAATTTCTAGTACTGCTAGAATGGTAAAATCTCGGCAGAGTTATCAGTACTTGTACTTCAGTAGGATGTATTACTGTTTCCTCTGCTGCTCCTGAGCCTCTAAACCAACACATGAGCAATAAGCCAGCTCTCTCTTCGGCCTCCAGTGTATCTAATCTCACCTCGTGGCCACAGTGTAGATCACAAGGGAAGAGCAATAATTTGAGATGTTTAATGATCCCCTGTAGCTAGCGGATGTAAATTGAATTTATTTACTTTGCATCCGCATTGTGCTCCGGCTTTGATGTGGAATGGGTCAAACTTCATCTCTAATCTCGTTTGCTCCCTCAGAGCATTTATTTCTTCTGACTGTTGGCCTTGCATTACTGTGAGGAGCTGACAAACTCTGCAGAGATTAATGCATCGTACAGCTCCGTTTCCGGGCTTCACTCTGGGATAGCTGGGATCTCTGTGCCACAGAGTGGGCAAAAGACATTTAAAAGAGTTTGCTTGTCGTGCTTAATTTATGGTGCATATATGATGATTGTCTAAAAAAGGTAACTCAACATTTGAGCCCTAAGCAAGATATATCAACGTCCAGTTGACTAGATTGCCTTCCAATGTGGATAGTAGAGTTGTTCCGATTCCGATACTGCTGAAAATGCTGGCATCAGTATCGGCAAGTACTGGAGTTCAGGCACCGATCCGATA